TTAACCTAACTAATTTACATTTTATGGCAAAATCTTTCAACATCGATAACTTGGGCTCAGTTAATCCAAATTAACTTTTTCTCGAGCCTAATATTCATAATTAATCACGAGCTATCCAACGAGCCCAATATTGATATATTTATCATTACTCTATCAATATTTAAATATTTGACCCAAATAAAATATAATTTGATAAATGTATCATTTAGTTCCTAACTTTCAAAATATTAAAATATAGCATACGAACATTAAATTCTATTCTATGAAAATATTCGGGGCATTACAGTATCTTTGTGCCATAATCAATGTAATTACTCGAAATATATGGATGGGTGAATTGAGAGAAGAAATTTATAAACATTTAAAAATCAAATTTTTGTGTTTATATTTTTACTATATGTGGTCCTTTCTTTTCAAACTAATCAAAGTAGACTCAGATTCTTGTTAGTTTCGAATTCAACCATGTGAAATTTTTTGCATAGAAATCAACTTTTTTTAATGTGTGTGTGTAATTTCCCTCTCAACATAATTTTACTGGCAACTTATTTCTAGCTTTTCTTTGCAAATTTGGTGAGAGAGCGGTTCTACAAATTGAGGGGCTATAAGGGATTATTTAGGGAATGAAATTAAAATCAAACTACAGTATCAGAGAATTTGATATAATTCTTGACATAATGTCACTTGACATTCTATTATTGACTAGTTGAAAATATACTCAACTTTTACATTCAATCATATCTTTCTAACACTCATCATTTCAAAGACATACATCAACGTGTTTTGACAAAGTGGCTTTATCGATGAAATTATAAAATTATTTTGAACCGTTCCAAAAAGGAAAAAGACACTAGGCCCTGACCAGGCCAAGTAGCAGGGTTCTTCAAAAAACGAGAGTTTTTTGCATAATTAAATGTTACATAAATCATAATTGCATAATTGAGCTATAAAAAAATGCAGGGATACCCACAAGTTTTGATATTTAGTTTATAAATCCTCAACCTTTTCAAAATGGAATATTTAAGTCCTCGAACTTTAGCATCCGTTCCTTAAAATCCCCGTGACCCTTCCTTATCACGAAGAGAGAAGAATCAAGAAAACATCACAGATAAACAATGGAAACTCCTAGCAGCATCAGCAAAGCCAGCATCGTGGCTGCACTTCAAGCCGTGAAGCGGAAGTCGGGCAAGACTCATGGGAAGATAGCCCAGGAAGCCGGCTTGACAAACGTGTACGTGGCTCAGCTCTTGAGGCGCCAAGCCCAGCTCAAGCCGGAGACTGCTCCATCACTCCGGGCAGCCCTGCCCGACCTGTCTGATGAGCTCCTCCATGAGATGATGCAACCACCCATGCGATCATATGATCCTAACATCATTCAAGAACCCACTGTTTACAGGTCACTGGTTTCCTTTTCTCGTTTTGTTGAAATTTTCACGGGAGTTATTTTGGTTTTTGCGTTTTTACTTTTTACTGTTTAGGGACTTCACCAGAAAAAAATTATATGAATATACTGTTTATATACCTTATTACTACTCCTGAATGTGTTGGAATATGTAATCATTAATCAAGGGTTATTTATTAAAGAATGTATCTTGGTGTGTATACAATAGAAAACCAATTATTGGGTGCAATTACGATAAGGTGACTAATTTTGAGCTTTTGGATTCTTGTTAGCTTTTGTTTTTAATTTGATTTTTACATGGATTGTGTTAATATCTACTTGAGTCCTTTGTTTACAATGCTTGAAATGTAAGTTGGGCTGGACTGATAAGATTGGTCTCAAAGAGTTGAGGTGAAATAATCTCAAGATTGCCAATTTTAGGCCTAGATCTTTAGCTGCAAATGCAAAACCAACGTTGAAATTGCATCTCTGTGATTGATTACTATATTTGCAAAAGTATTTGCTACTTTATATTCCACTCGTTTGTAATCTCTAGTAATTATTGCATAATTTCTATGGTTCTGACTTCTGAATTCTATTGTACTTTTTTCCAGATTGAATGAAGCAGTTATGCATTTTGGTGAGAGCATCAAGGAAATTATAAACGAGGACTTTGGAGATGGCATGTAAGTTGTTCTTTGCAATATCCTAAAATATTTTTCCAGGTTTGGAGGTTCAGACTTGTTATATAACCATTCTTCTTCTTTTTTTTTTTTGGGTATCCATAATATACAGCCTTTATTTATTTTCTTCATCGTAAAATTTGTGAAAAACACAAAAAGGAATAGTTAATCACTCTGTGTTTGCAAGCTCGTATTTATGTGTGTTCTGCGCACATGTGTGAACGTGACTATCATCAATATGCATGTCCTCTTCTGCAAGTTTAAGGTGAAGTTTGTGGAGATGTCAAAGCATTTGAAGCATGTTTAGGCATGTGCAGAGTCACGGCATTGCTGAGTCATGAATGTGTTCTGCAAGCGTTACATTATGCTACTTTCTTCCTTTGTTATGCACTGGACATTATCCACAAATGTCCACGTGATCCCAACAATCTTTCATGAGTTCCTATTAATGTAGAAATCAATCTCGTCTTACTTTCAATTCTAGAACTTCCAATTTATATCTCTTCAACAGTAGGTACTCTTTTAAGTCAAGGAACTAATTTCTTAATGCAATATTAATGTACTTAAAGAAAATTTCTCATCAACATTCATTTGAAGACCATAGTTTGGGATATGTTATTATTTGGAGAATAGATGGTAGTTGAAATTTTTACATTGCTGCTTGACTCTTGAGGAGTATGCAATTAGACTTTTAGCAGACTGTCAAGTTTTAGACAAAATGAGAATTTTTTTTCTGGTAATTATCTACATTTCTAAATGCCCTTTCAACGTTGGCCCCTCTACCTTCCCCGCCTTTCGTTTCTTGTGAAGGCTCAGTTTAAAAGAATAATGAAAAAAAGGATCTGTTATTATTTGAGACTCCTCAATCTTCGGTTACTGGACTGGACTTTTTGGAAATAATTTTCAATTTTGTTATACATCTTTTATTGTTTAAAATGAGGAATAGCACATAAACAACCTGTGGGTTGCCTTGAAATATGTTCTTTATTGTCTGAAGATGAAACCCCTACACAGTTACACTCTTTGGAGGGCTTCAATGATTAAACAACCTGGGTGTATGCATTTTCAGACGGGGGGATCATGCAGAATATTTTGCAAATGACTGGGAGATTAATGTGAATTTGGTTTTGTAATTAAAAGTTCTCTATGAATTTGATGTTTACTCCTTTCCCTTCATCTATTTTTGCTCGGCGGGGACATTAATGTGAATTTGGTTTTGTAATTAAAAGTTCTCTATGAATTTGATGTTTACTCCTTTCCCTTCATCTATTCTTGCTCGGTGGGGAACATCAATGATTAGCATGTCAGCTATAGACTTCTACTGCTCGGTTGACAAAGTCAAAGGTGTGGACGGAAAGGATCGTGTTGTTGTGACATTTGATGGGAAGTATTTGCCACATACTGAGCAGGTTAGTTCCCGATCTTGTTTTACGGCCTTTGAAAACTGAAGGAATCTCACTTTATTAAATATGTGTTGCATGAAATGAAAGAGTTTGAGCAAATGAAAAGAAAGCATCATTGCTTCAGAAGAACAGTGGACAACTAGTACATGAGCAGTAAAAGGATTTTGGTTACACAATTAAATATATGTAGATGAATCTAATATTTTCCAAAATAAGGTTTCTTTGTATTTTTAGGGTGTGAAAAGTATTTTTTTTCTCAATTTTCATGGAGAAGTATTTGTTTCTTAAGTTGAGTATTTCTTCTTTAACCATTTCAGACTAACAACAATATTTTTGTTAAAAATCAAACTAGATAGACTCTATAAATGCGTGTCGGGTTACTCTCGAAGATTTCTTTTTTGCTTCTATACACTATAGATCCTTGTCGAGATACATGTTAAGCGATAAATTTCATATCGAATAAAAAATAAGTATATTTGTTTGAGTTACTTCTCTTAGATTGACCTTTTAACATGGATCCCCAAGTTTTATATGATATAAGAACTCATGAAGTCCCAAAATGCAATTCAATCCGACTAAAATTCAAAACGAGCACACACATTTTAATATTACTATGATCAAACGAGCCACCATCTTGCTTGAACATGTTAAGGAGACATCTCATATTGAATAAAAATAGAAACATTAACCAACGTATACTCTTCTTAATAAGGTTGATTGAAAGTCTTAATATATATTGGTCTATATGTTGGGATTCCATTTTAAAATGTCAGTCTTGTTAAGTTGATCCGTTATATGTTAATCAATTTTTTTGTATTTAACTAATGTAAGATTTATCTTTTAATATGTCCTTGCAAAATGGTGGCTTGTTTGAGCATATCAATTTTGAAATATGTATGCTTGTTATGAGTTTTAACTTAATTGTTCGTTCGAGCTTAACGAGCTTTGATACATTATTAAAAGAGGAAATTACACCTACACCTGTTTTTAGATTTCCAATTTCACAAATAAGGTTACAAGCTTAATATTTCAAAAATCGGGTTTTAATTAAAAATTTAAAAAC